ACCAGAGACTGGCGACCTTGTGGTAATTATCGTGCCCTTAATAACTCGACAGCACCCGATCGTTACCCGCTCCCTCACATTGAAGATTTCACCTCGTCTCTTCACTGCTCCAAAATCTTCTCCAAAATTGATCTAGTTAAAGCATATCACCAGATACCGGTACACCCTCCTGACATCCCCAAGACAGCTATTGCTACTCCGTTCGGTCTTTTCGAATATGTAAGAATGCCATTCGGTTTGCGCAACGCAGCCCAGACGCTTCAACGCTTTGTAAATCAAGTGACTCGAGATCTGCATTTTTGTTACGCGTACCTCGATGACCTTCTCATCTTCAGCATAAACCAACAAGAACACCTGAAACATCTCAAACTCCTGTTCCAGCGCCTCGATGAATATGGACTCATCATCAATAAGAACAAGTGCGAATTCGGTGTGACTGAAATCAATTTTCTCGGTCACCGCCTAGACCAGCACGGACTTCGACCCCTCGAAGAGAAAGTCAACGCCATTCAAAATTTTCCCCAGCCAAGCTCCATTCGTAAACTTCGAGAATTTCTTGGTTTAATTAATTTCTACAGGCGTTTCATCCCTCACTGCGCTCAGATACTGAAACCTCTAACTGACCTCCTCAGAGGTGCACGAACACCTTCCACGGCACTGGAGTGGTCCTCCCAAACCACAGCGGCATTTCACCATGCCAAACAAGCACTAGCTGACGCCACACTCCTATTCCACCCCAGACCAAATGTTCCCTTGAACGTCATGGTCGACGCTTCCAACACCGCGGTTGGGGCAGTTCTGCAACAATACATCGGAGCAGTCTGGCACCCGATTGCATTCTTCTAAAAAAATTGGAACCTGCAGAATGCCGCTACAGCACCTTCGGCCGTGAGCTTCTGGCAATATATCTAACCATCAAGCACTTCAAACATTTTTTAGAAGGTCGACAGTTCTTTATCCTCACGGACCACAAACCTCTCACGTACGCTTTAAAATCATCAAGCGATAAGTTTTCTCCACGAGAAACACGGCACCTATCTTACATCGCCGAATTCACGACAGACATCCGACACGTCAAGGGATCTCACAACCCAGCAGCGGGACGCCCTGTCACGCATATTATTGACTTTTGACTGCAATGCTATATCACCTACCATCGACTTCGCAGATATGGCTGCCGCGCAACAAGATGACAAGGACATCCTCCTGCTCACTCAGTTATCCAACCAACTGAAGCTCTTAAAGATTACGATCCCGCAAGGTGATCACCCTCTCCTTTGCGATGTTTCAACTGGAGTGCTGCGACCTGTTGTCCCTGTACCGTTTCGCCATCAGGTTTTTGACTCGACCCATGGTCTTTCACACCCTGGAATACACGCAACGCAGCGTTTGATAACTCAGCGTTTTATTTGGCACAGCGTAAATAAGGATGTGAGAGAATGGGCACGCTTTTGTATTGCTTGCCAAAAATCAAAAATTCATCGCCACACCTCCACAGACTTTGAACAATTCCCCGTGGCCACCACACGATTCGATAACGTCCATATTGACATTGTTGGTCCCTTACCCCCATCAGATGGGAACACATACATACTTACGTGCATCGACAGATTCACGCGCTGGCCAGAAGCCTACCCGATTTTTGACATCACTGCCGCCACCATCGCGCGGGTTTTCGTGAGCAGATGGGTTGCAAGATTTGGTGTGCCATCCACCATAACAACAGACCGCGGACGGCAGTTTGAGTCAGCTTTATTTCGTTCCCTTATGCATCTACTTGGTACACATCGTATACGCACAACCTCGTATCATCCTATCGCCAATGGTATGGTGGAAAGATTTCATCGCTCACTCAAGTCCTCACTCAAGGCACAAGGAGACTCTACGCACTGGTGCAGACAGCTACCACTCGTCCTACTTGGCCTCCGATCGGCGGTCAAGGAAGAGCTCAACTGCAGCCCCGCAGAGCTCATATATGGCAGCACTTTGCGTCTTCCAGGTGATTTTTTCTCCCCAAGTGATCCACAAGCTGAACCGGACCCTGCAACTTACGCCAATGAACTAAAAACTGCCATGCGCAGAGTATGCCCATTGCAGCCAAGACTACAATGTGCCACACGATCTCCGAACATCTACACACGTTTTCGTTCGACGAGACACCGTTCGAAAGCCGCTACAACCACCATATGATGGACCCTTCAGGGTGGTAGAACGGAGGGACAAACATTTTGTACTGGACATAGGAGGCCGAACAGACACTGTGTCTCTTGACCGACTCAAAGCTGTGCACTTGTCAGCTGCCATCAACACACGTGACTCTCGGCGCGTCGCCTGGGCTACGCCTCTCTGCCGCCAACTCCTCCAGGAGGGGGGCACTTATACACTCCGTGCGGGAACTATAGGGGGCGCTTTGAAAAACGCGCGCAGCGCCGCTAGCGGAGGAGCTGGCGTTCGACAGTGAGGCGCGTTCAGCAGCCTGCGGCGCCTTTTCGCATGCCAAGCTATGGCGGCGGAAGCGCGCATGGACGAAACTTTTGCTTTTCGAGCCGATACGTTGAGGGTGACGTTGCATGAATGCTGGGGCAGACCTAAGAAGGGCCATTTAGCTGTTCTCCTCTTCTTATATATTGAGTTTTAGTCGTTATTCGGGGGAATTTATCTAGTTGCGGCCAAAAAAGGAGTTGGAGCAATTTTCCGAAAAGCAAGACGGCCGCCACCATAATTGCTTTGAGTGGGAAATTTATTTCGCTCGTCGCTGTAAACGTAGGACTGCTGGAACGATGATATTGGAGGCGAGTAAGATGTCCACTAAGTTTCTGCACGAAGTGTGCCAAGTTTCATTAAGACAGCAGGTGTGAAAGTTGTTTCTAACGAATAAAGAAATAAAGCTGTATGGTATATCCAATATTGGACCCAAAATGTTGTGTTATAGCGGGCTGTGCGAAGTGCAGATTTGGGCAACAGGTGCTTGGACTTGACAGTAACATGACACAGCACTTATTATACAAAAAAAAGGTGGCATAGGGAAACAAGGTGAAAATTTGGTTTGGGCGGCGTAACTCAATGGGAACCGGTTTTGACCATGAAAAGGCTGTCAAGAGAATAACACTGGTCGGGGGACGTGGAGACTTTAGAGGTAGGAAGGGACTGGTGGAATGTACTTCCAATTGAAACAACATTACGAAAGGTGGTTCCAAAGCCGAGAAAACGAAGTTGTCGGCCAACAGACGGTTTGACCGCCAAGGGCTTTTGCGGTCAGCTGTTGTGTAATAACCTGTTGTGCGAGGTGCTGATTTTCGGCCCACAGGTACTTTGACATGACCGCCACTTGGCACAACACTTATTATAACAAAAATAGTTGGCATAGCGAAACCAGGTGGAAATTTAGTTTGGGCGGCGTAACTAAATGGGAACTGGCTTTGACCGTCAAAGGCTGTCAGAAACTACCACGCATCGTGGGAGGTGCACACTTTACAGGTAGGAAGGGACCAGTGGACGGTACTTCCTGTTCGAACCACTTTGCGATAGGTGGCTCTAAAGCCGAGAAAAAAAAATTGTTGTCTACAGAACTCGGGGTGTCAGTGTTTCCACATCCAAAAGGAGGCTGACCAAGAAAGAAAGCACTCCACATAAACTTCCATACTCAAACGCCGATTCTCCAGTGATTCCGAGTTTCATGGTTGTTTTCTTTAGATTTATATTTGTCACTTTTTTACCGTTCAAATCTTTCTTCATGAAGTACAGATTGCGTGCAATATTTGTCCGGAAATATCATCGACATGTACGATGGGGACGAAACTTCTTTGGAGGGCATTCCTCCAACGAAATTGGCGAGTGTGGGATGGCATTTCAGTTCGTCCCATCGGCGCTGACACATGTAGGCGTTACTGGTACGAAAACAAACGCAGAGCGCAAAGTGGCAGTGTAGAATATGTCAGCCGTGCCGACACAGTGGCAGACATGATCGGTACACCAAATTTCTCGCGTCGTACGGCACGGCTCCATCGTTGTCGCTGTCCCACAAAACATCGGCGAGGTGAAGACCTGTGAAACTTTGTCTCCACGAGATACGACGCATAACTATTGAAGCACTTAATGACGCAGCACAGGCAGCACTTCATGTTGTGAACCCAGCGCAACAGCACCACTCCGACTTCAACGCGTACCAACGTACGCGGCGTGGTTTCGGTTTCGTTTTCTCTGGGGTGCTCACTGCCTACCTTCGGTACCGGCCGCGCGGCGGCGCGCCAGTCGCGTTGCACGGAGTGTATAGCGACCAGCAAAGACGATAAAAAAGTCCAGCGGTCAATAAGCGCGAGCGCGAAAGCAAGAGGTATTCGATGCTAATCGGGTCGGCGGCAACGGTCAGTGGTGGCTGGCTCCTTCTCATTGTGTATATATTAAATAACTTATAAGCTATAAGAAAATGAATAAGGAACACTGCAACTTGTATGACGACATCCAATCTATGCATTTTGGTGAAGAGAGCCAGGAATCAGAACTACAATACCCAGGAACAAGTGCCGGGTGCAACAAAATATTTCGGTCACGTAAGTGCTAGATAGGGATAGTCTGTAACAAGCGACTGTCGTTTAACAGTATGCAATTACAAAGATGCCCGTGCTGAGGACTGTCAGCTCAATAAAATCGGTTCAAAGTTCCTCTAGTCTCCCATGTCTTTTTTTCATACATTTGCGAAGGCAGCGTGATGCTTTCACATGCATTAAACAGCACAAACATGATGTCACCTCCTACGTAAACCTGCCGGAGGGCAGGAATTGGGCTACGGTCAGAACAGACATCAGGAGCCACCACTTTGACTTATGTGCTGCGATACGGACTTCCACTTGGTAGTCGATTTCTTGGCGACAAAACTGTTCCAGTGGGATCCTGGCATTGTGCAGGATGGCAGAGTGGGAACATTCTAAAGAGCTGCTCTGCCCACAGCACTTTGGCTTCAGCGAAGATATGCAATGGAAGAAAAAAAAGACAACACTGCGGGAGCTCGACTGTCAATCTTTATTCCTGAGCAAGAGTGAAACGGAAGTTTGATTACATATTTATCATCCGCAGATTTCGTTCAAGACAAACAACGTAAAAGTAAAAAGAAAAAAAATTGCCGCGATAAAGATGTGCTTGCAAATTAATTAAACAATGCGAAACTATTCACAGATTGAGCAATGATTCAAAGGATATAGTAAAGAAAGCAAATTTATGGTCGAGCTGGTATTCATTGACACTTAAGCAGGGGACACATAAGCGATGAGAACGGACGGCGAGCGGCAGTATCATAGCAACCGGTGCTGGTGTCCCTACGTCGCCTCGCCACAACGTGGCGGCGGAGCTTGGATCTGGTCGATACGGATAAAGCCGTGCGGTGCGCCTGTGACGAGCTTAGTGGCGCCCAGTTTCATTGCTCAGGTGTTCCATGCTTTAGCTTCACCAACCCTTTTCATTCTTTTAAAAAAATGTAAGAATGTTAGCCATCGGAGAAGCAGAAAAACAAACTATTCTATGTTACACAAGCAAAAGGAACTTTTTAGCAAACAATGACACCTACGGTTCGAAAATTCTGATGCAGACAGCCAGGCAACACGGAAACAACTGCCGGGAAAATGGACACGGAGCGAGAAAATATTGGGAACACATTACACAAAGGAAAGCAATATCTGAAAGCAGGTGTCGTATAAATACATGACTGTGAAGTTGCCAATACAAAGAGGGAAGGCAAAAGCAGCGAGTATGAGCATGTTAGTCGGTTCCAAAGTTTCCACAACTTTCGTCAATGCAGCTCCGATGGGGCAATACACTATCCAAAATGGGTACAGTGCCAATTTATTGGGACCGGACATTTCATCAAACGCCGTTTCGTCCATTGCCGTTTCATTGAAGCCGTTTCATTGAAGCCGCTTCATCGAATGCCGTGTCATCGAATGCCGTTTCATCGAACACCGTTTCATCGAACGCCGTTTTATTGAACACCGTCTTATCGAACGCCAGGGTGGCATTCCCGCTTCCTGAAGCTGGTCGGAGGTGCCCATCCCGGGTTCTGGAAGTTTTTGACTTGCATTGCCGCAGAACATCAACTGACGGAAGACAAGCTGGAGGCGATGCTGAATTCCCAAAAGCCTCTTCGCCAAAGGAAGGTCATAGCGGCAAGAAATGAGAAAGTCCGCCTTTTTGATGAGAACCGACGGAGCATGGCTGTGGGAGACTTCTTGAGAGCAATTGCTCATCATTTGAAACGGTGAATGGCTGTCGCACAAACACATGAACTCTCGAAAGTTTTCAAATAAAATTTGAAGTGACGTACTTACTTTTGACTTCATTGAGTATTGAAACTAAAAAAACAATGTTTCGTTGTAGTTTCATAAATAGCACCTCAGCTTTAGCTACTGCAAGCTTCAGGCAGTAAAAGAGTATCAATAGAAAGACATGAGAGGCTAGGAGGCTCACATGGCTAAAGTTGTTGCGCCTGCGCAAAACCCAAGTCACCTTCTGGCCTCCATGAGTTGGAGTGCGCTCTTACCGGGAGTGCGACTTTTTATTTATTTGTTACAATACCCTCAAGGCCCATCGGGTAATACAGAGGGGGTGAACAGATAAGCACAATATGCGAAACAAACTTAAAAATCGGTACACATATCCTCTGGGTTACTTGCATCAAAATAAATTGTAACAGCTACATGTTCGGACATTAAGAAAACCTGACAATGAAATGGATAAATGACACGAAAATGCACTCGATCCGTGCATAAAAGAGCATCTTTCCCATTTTTTATGTAAGATACATTCAATGAAACGGCTGTCAGCGATTTAATGAAACGGCGTTCAATGAAACGGCCATTTTCTTGGATGAAATGGCGTTCTATGAAATGTTTGGGAACCCCAATTTATTGCAAAACCTGCTGGGCAGTGCAAGGGATTCAATTAGCAACGTCCCAACCTGTAGCAGGAAGTGTACAGTGTATGCACACTCGGCAATTATAGTTCCCCACCGAGGTAACTGCTAAAATGAGGTCTTAGCACTGTACAGGAGGCCAAAATGAAAATCTTGGAAAAAGTTACTTCATACTACTTAAGGCCCATTCACACACTTGCGCTTGACTACGACCGACTGAAACAAGACCGGTTTTCAAGCCTCTTGCGACTGCTTACGACCGGCTGCACAGCAGTGCAGAAAGTTGTAAACCCTCACAAGAGGCTTAAAAACAGGTTTCTACGGTCGTAAGCACAAGTGTGCGAACCAGCTGTCACTTCAGTACCATAATCTGCAGCAGCTGAAAGAAACAAGAGTGTTAAAGTTGAAACTGCCAACCTTTTTGTTTTTCAATAGTCAAGATTGAATTGTGGTCATATATTAACTTTTGGCACGATTATATCTTCCTTCCACATAGATAAGAGTAGAATCAAAAGAAAACAATGAAGACATTTTTACAAGCATATTCAACCTCGCCTCAATAAGCATACATCGAGCAAGTTCAAGGGAGTTTGGAACAAGAGCTAGAGCATGACCCAGTGCACATTTGGTGCAGAACACAGAGTAGATGCTCTGAAATGCATTAAGAAATGTCTCCTGTTTATTGACCCAGCCTCTAGATCACAAATGGAGAAGAATCATTTCCTAAGCACCAATACATTTGTGTGATGACAAATGATGGCCTTCGGACAAAAGGAGGGAGAGCAATGACAAACAGTCTGGCTGTATGGCCAACCAAGCTGGAATTATGATCCAAGCTTCTCGGATATTGCTGGCATTTGAAAGGCCTACCCGCTGCAGGCTTTATGCAAATGCCCTTAGGGTTTGTTAGCTTGTGCCCGATGAGGCAAAACCGATCAGAAAATGGCCTGGAACGCTGCTGGAGTTTGTGAGGTTTATTGCGCATAAGCGCTTCAGTGCGGTGAGCTTCACTATTAAGCTGGGCAAGGGCCTTGGGACCTATCTTGCACTCAGGTATATGCGTACTTTGAGTGAAAAGGCATTAAGTTTTGTATGAGCTACTCAATGATTACACACGGTGCAGGCTCAACTTACGGGTCAACCGCAAATGCACATGTGCATTTGGTTCTGGCGGATAAACTCCCATACCGAGCAAAGCTTTTGGGGCATTGTTTGCCCTTGTAAGGTTTTCAAGAGGGAACGAGGGCCTTTAACGTTTTATTTTTCATTATCGTGCTGAAATTTAGTATACAGATGTATTTTTCAGTGGTGATTTCAAATGTGCAATTAGTTTTCAGACAGATCCTGAGTTATCAATAAATATGTAATTTTAATTAGGTCCTCTTTACGGGTCGTTAGTGACTAATTAAGACAGGCTAATTAAATAAAATTATTTTATGACATATAAAGCAACAAAAATAGCATCACTCCACAAAGCATGTCTTGGTCAATGCAATTCTATAAAAATTTCTGATATATTCTGAAGAATTTTACGCTAACTACCCAAAACAAGGGCCTAAATAAAACTAAAATTTATTGATAAGTCAGGATCTAGTAAAACTATCTTTAAGACTAGTTGCATAATTAAAATCACCACTAAGAAATACATCAATTTACAGTATACTAAATTTCAAGATGATAAATGAAAATTAAAAAAAAAAGTTGACTGAATATATTTACTCGTTTCCCTTTAAACACTGTTTTCGATAATGGCGGATCAGACTGGTATTGTGAGAAAAAACCTGTGGGCACAGCTTACACTTAAATGGCTTTTCACCTGTGTGTTAGATTATGGCTTTCCAGATAGGAATTAAAAGCAAAGGCTCGAGGGCACTGTTGGCACTTAAATGGCTTTTCACCAGTGTGTAAATGATTATGGCTTTGTAGATGAGAATTTCGACCGAAAGCTTGGGGGCACTGCTTGCACTTAAACGGTTTTTCACCAGAGTGTGTTAGATGATGATGTCTCAGAGTGGACTCGTGAGCAAAGGCTTGTGGGCACTGCTTGCACTTAAATGGCTTTTCACCTGTGTGTGTTCGATTATGGCTTCGCAGATTAGAACTCGAAGCAAAGGCTTGGAGGCACTGCTTGCACTTGAACGGCTTTTCACCAGTATGCGTTCGATTATGACTTCTCAGAGCCGAATTATCAGCAAAGGCTTGGGGACACTGCTTGCACTTAAATGGCTTTTCACCAGTGTGCCTTCGATTATGCGTTTGCAGATGACAATTTTGAGAAAAGGCTTGAGGGCATTGCTTGCACTTAAATGGCTTTTCACCAGTGTGTGTTCGATTATGGGTTCGCAGATGGCAATTTAGAGCAAAGGCTTTGGGGCATTGCGTGCACTTAAAAGGCTTTTCCCCAGTGTGCAGATGATTATGGTAGGTGAGAAGGGAATTACTGGCAAACTCTTCGGGGCAAAGCTTGCACTTAAATGGCTTTTCACCTGTGTGTGTTCGATTGTGGTAGATCAGATTTTTATTCTGAGCAAAGGATTTGGGGCATTGCATGCACTTAAATCGCTTTTCACCAGTGTGTATTTGATCATGACAGGTCAGAAGGGAATGATAAGCAAATTCTTGGGGGCAAAGCTTGCACTTAAATGGTTTTTCACTCTTGTGCTTTTGAGTTTTGCCAAGCACTTGGGACTTAGAGCCAGAAATGGGAAGATGCTGGCACTTGGATTGTTCATCACCATGGGCCGCCAGGTGGCTCACAATTCCACACTGATCTTTAGTGACATAGGTGCAGGAACAGCATCCGAACCAGATGTCCTCGGTGACTTTCAGTGGGCAGCTGGTCTCCCCCAACAATGTGGCTCCATCACCTAGAAGAAAACACCGTATGTATTGACCCACAAAAGCTTAAACAAAATAGTCACTTAGTTTGGCAAATGAGTAGTCATTAATGCCGTTCTGCCACAGCTGTACAGTTTAATATTTCGCTGCGCTTTGGAATTCGGTTCACGGAAGCACTCAAATGCGACTGGTACCATGACAGAGTCACTGAAAAAAAGTTTTTTTAAACAGCGTGATCGGGACATGCTTGTCAAGAAATAAATTTTACGCAATAAACAAAATTTTTAGAGCAATATTGATGGCGCGAGATTTTTTTTTTAATTCTGCGCGCAAAGTCCATGACGTCACAGAATGGTCATACACTCTTTCCACCTCAACGAGAGTCGTACTCTCTCCACCTTAACGTGATGGCCAAGCCGATCCACCTCTTCAAGCGCACGAAATGCCGAGAGAAAACAAGTGGAAAGGAGGTGACTACCGAATAAATCGTGTCAACGTCACTCTAAACCTATCAATATTGCTCTAAATTTTTTTTCATAAAATTTATTTTTGATGTACATGTTCCAACCAGACTGTTTAATCTAAAAAAAGACATTTTCTTTTCAGTGTCCCTTTAGGAAATCTTGAAAAGTGAAAACCCAGCAAAAAAAGTATACCCTTTTATTTTTATTTCTAAATCACACTTTACACATCTCGCTTTGAAAAGTATTCGTGCCTTCTCAGAATTTTCTCTTTTTTGTCACAAGAAAATCCTCGTCTTGAAAAGCGAAAATCTGGATGTGTATAATACGCCTTGGGGGGCTGGATACCTCATTATTCAGAGTGCAACAGAAACAATACTTCTAGAGATTTTTAAATATGACGTTCTTTAATTTACCAATGACTTTGATTATGGCAGGTCTGACCGAAAGTCTTCTTTGAAGTTACCATTAAAAGAATTTCAACATGTGATGCAGTCATGTCTCACTAATATGGATGCAACGCTATATAGACAAGTTTGAGGGACCAATTCCTCCCCATGCAATTCCGCCTTCTGGATATTAAAACCCGCAGTCCAGACTATGGACAGCTAGTTTTGGGAACAAACTGCATAAATACATGCAGGTTTGTCTCATTATTACGGACACAAGAGGGTCCTCTAATAAAAGAAAAGAGCTTAGTTAAGACCTTGAGCTACAGAGTTCACCGAGAGTTTCACTACTGTTGGCTGTCGGTTGCGCTTCCTTCGAAAGGCATAAGACCTTGGCACCGAACAATGGTTCAACTTATCTGGGCTTTCCAGCCAAACGCTTAACCTGTACTTCTCTCTTCATGTTACGACATTCTTCAGGTTTGTCATTGTGGCTGCTTTTCTAGCTTGTCTGGCCTCTTTAGTCTACGCACATTTATGGGCAGCCACATTTTGGTTGAACATCAGTCTGGTAACCATGGGCACACCTTGGCAAGGGAATAAATTCGAGAGGGAGCACTTAGCTGGCTCAGGCCACTGAAGGAGTTTTAAGAAGAAACGTATACAGGGCAGCACAAACACAGACAGGGCTAGATTTGAAGATGCAGATCAAATATGCGCTATATGTAAAGAGGAGGGAAACATTTGAACTTGTGATTCTGAAATGTAAGGAGCTTAGTGCTGTTCTTCCTAAAGTGGCGACAAAGATACCGGGTGCCCCGAGTTTCGCTGGAGAAGATAGAAGTGTGGATTACAGTAACGTATATGCAACAAATAGGAGGTTAGAGTGCTGGTTCAAATTATCTGGAGAAAACTGAATGAAGAACAACTAAGTAGCACAGCTGGGGGACAGGAGGAAAATCTGGACTCCCTCCCTCATGTCTCTGGAGCAGTCTCAAATCTGTGCCCCAGTGGGTCTCGTGTTGGGGCGATGCCAACAGAAAATTGGCACTCCGTCGACAGGATGATAAGGAGGGAGTGTTTTTTTTAAATGTTTTCTGGCTAGGTTGCACAAAATGATGCCCATTATAAAAGGTACAGCTATTAATATTCATTCTTGCATGCGTCCGGATTTTGACCAAAATTGTAAACATGGTATTCTTATATAAATAAACAAAGGCAAAACTTCCTGGACCTAAGAGTACTCTGGCTCGACTGCACTTTTTGTATGTTTCAACGAGTAAGAATGAGCAGCGTGTCGGAAGTTTTTCTTTATGTAGAATCAGAAAGGGTATGTCAAAACGATACACCGTGGATCGATGAGTGTACCTAGATCATATGAGGCCAAGAATAAGCACAGTTGCCCATTTGGCCTCTGTGCTGAAAGTTATGTGTCCCTATGCGACAGTGCATTAGTAAGTAAGATTAAGGTTTTAATGGCGCAGCAGCAACTGAGGCCATAATGCGCCAAACAAAATGTTTATTAAAACTCCGCAAAACAGATGCTAGACTAGAGAAGATTTTTATAACTTGTGTAGATAACCAGTTTTGTTAAGAAAATTAAAAACTCGTCTAAGTGGTACTAAAGCACTGTCACCAAGTAAAAACATAGGATGAAAGGGTAGATAGTTTCTAAAAAGTTCAGGAAAACATGATACGTGCAGTTGATGATAAAACCTACACTCCCATAGAATGTGTAAAATTGTAAGTAATTCCCCACAATGGGCACAAAGTGCAACTTCTTCGCCACAGAGGAGGTACATATGTGTCAGACGTGAGTGGCCGATTCTCAAGCGACAAAGCATAACCTCGAGACGACGGTTTCTGTGAAATGAACTTTCCCAGATGCCTATCATTGGTTTAATCACGTGGAGTTTGTTGTTGGTTTCAGTGTCCCATTCTAGCTGCCAAGCCTTTAAAAGAGATTTCTTTAAAAGTGGTTTGAAATCCTGATAGGGCAGGCCAAAAGATGCTATTGAATCTGTGGCAGATGCAGCCAAGCGATCCGCACTCTCATTCCCTGCAATTCCCACGTGACTTGGTACCCAGCAAAATTTGATATTACTTCCAAGGCGCAGAGCTCTGTTTACTTTAAAACGAACATGTTGTGTAAGTACATTCTTTGTGGAAACTCTGGAAGAGATAGCAGCTAAGACGCTTTGTGAATCGACAAAAATGACTGCGTTCAATACACTGTTATCCAGAATATGCTCAATGGCTAATAAAATACCATAGAACTCAATGGCAAGCATGAAGATGCTTGCCATTGAGTCAAGCTGCACAGCTCTTCCAAAGCCACTAGAATAAACTGCGCAACCAACGAAACATAAAGATTTTGATCCGTCGGTGTAGTATTCGGCGCAACCACTAGATATCCTTTCTTGCAAAGATAGAAACTCTTGCTGAAGAAACTGTGGAGCCACGGTCTTCTTACTGTATTTGGTAAAAGACCAGTCACAACATACGGGTAGCTCGTTCCAAGGGGCAATTCTCTCCATAGATTTTAGCAAGTTAACACCACTTGTGGAAGGGACAGGGAGGCTGAGAAAGCTACAAATACTTTGAACTCGAAAACCTAGGGGGCGCACAATTGTTGGCTTGTTTTCAAACAAATTACAGAACTGAGAAATTTGTAAAATACTATAAGCAGGATTTTTCGGATCCGAAAGCACTTTGTAATAATAACACAGGCTCAAGTACTGTCGGCGTTTTTCTAGAGACATTTGATGAGTGTCCATATACAAGCTTAATACAGGTGACGTGCGAAATGCCCCAGTGGCTAGCCGGAGTCCGAGGTGATGAACCGGATCCAACATCTTTAGAGTGGAAGGTCGTGCCGAACCATAAACAATCGCTCCATAATCCAGACGTGACCGAACTAAAGCATTGTACAAACGTAGGAGGCATCGTCTGTCAGACCCCCAAGATATATGTGACAGAACCTTAAGAATGTTTGAGGATCGCAAGCACTTTTGCTTTACTTCCTTTAAATGAGACTTGAATGTAAGCTTTTTATCGAAGACCATGCCTAAAAATTTATGTTCCTGCTTCACCGATATTTCTATGTTGTTCAATTGTAAGATTGGGTTCAAAGTCAAACCTCGTCGCAGGGAAAACGGCACACACACAGTTTTCTCTGGGGAGAACTTAAAACCATTTTCATTTGCCCACTTGGTCATTCTGTTTATTGTGAGCTGCAGTTGCCGTTCACAACTGGAGAGGTTGCAGGACGAAAAAGATATTTGCACATCATCCACGTAGAGCGAGTATGAAACAGATGACGGTATAACTTGAGCCAGACTGTTTATCTTAACTGCAAATAAGGTGGCACTTAAGACTCCGCCTTGGGGGACACCATTTTCTTGCAAGAAGACATTGGATAAAGTCGAGCCTAATCGGACTTGAAATGTACGCTCACTTAAAAAATTCTGCAAGCAACGAAGCATACGGCCACACACTCCACAGTTGTATAGATCTCGAAGGATACCATACCTCCACATAGTGTCATATGCCTTCTCTAAATCAAAAAACACCGACACGCAATGCTGCCGGTGTACAAAGGCCTCACGTATGACGGTCTCAAGTCGGACCAGATGGTCCATGGTGGACCGTCCAGCACGAAAGCCACACTGCTTAGTGTCAAAAAAGTTTTTCTCTTCCAAAAGGAACATAAGGCGGCGATTTATAAGCCTTTCATAAGTTTTCCCCAAGCAGCTTGTAAGTGCTATGGGGCGGTAGCTGGTAGCCAGAGAGGGATCTTTTCCAGGTTTCAGCAAAGGTATAACATGGGCACTTCTCCAAGAATGTGGGAAAGCAGCAGCTTCCCATAGGTAGTTGAAAAAGGACAACAGGTGGGACAAAGATTCATGAGACAGGTGCTTAAGCATCTCGTAGTGAATTCTGTCTGGCCCAGGTGCAGATTGCTTTTTTAGGCTGAGAGCAACTTCCAGTTCACACATTGTGAACGGTCTATTGTATGCAGCAGAGTTGAAGCCTGACATAGTGATTTTCTGCTTCTCAGCGGTAGACCGGTACTTTAAAAACTCCGTACTGTAATTGGAAGAGCTGCAGACATGCTGAAAATGTTCTGCGAGGAAGTCTGCTTGTCCTGTTAGAGATGCTGAGATTGAAGGAAAAAGT